TTGTAAAAAAAAAAAAAAAGAAAAATTTTATAAAATTTTTACAATGTCGTATAATCAAAAGTCACCTATAAATTTGAGCACGCATCTTTACAAACGACAAGATTTTTCTAATTTGACCAACAATAACACGTCTATTATCGTGATAATCTTAGCCGTCGCCGTAATACTTGGTCTACTAATTTTCGTAATACTTTATCAACGAAAAAGAAACCGTAATCGTATATTTGACTCTCGGTTGAAGCCTTTACAACTTGTTCAAAATAAACCTTTATTGAACCATAAAACACATAATATTAGTAAAAAAGATAATTTAATTAAGAAAAATCGTCACAGTCTTCCCTCTACTAAGTCTACTATCACTGCAGATATTAGAACATTTGAAGTAAGATTGAGTATGCCAGTAGAATTGGCTAAACCTATTAGAGAATATTATCAAACTGAGTCAAAAGTGTAACTACTATTGTTTATTTTACGTATAATTTGTCTTGTATTATAATCTGTTGTAAATTTTTTACTTTTTACTTGTTAAACAAATAATATTTTTTAAATATATTTATAATTAATTGTATATATTATAACTAGCAAATATAAATTGAGCTCATATATTTATAATGTTTATATATTTATTATATAATACGTAGAAATTTTAACTTAAATTAAAGACAAATACTAATTATACACTAGTGTTTGTATACAAACTTATTAAAATAGCTAATTAAAGTTTAAAATCAAGTATTATACATATAACATAAAATTTTTTTTTAATACGTATCTTAAAATTTTATTGTCCGAAGCGAAGCGATCAGGACTTATACTTTTGCGTCCTTTGATTGCGATTTTGATGTATCCATAATAAATATATCAAAAACGTTATTTTCCGGATGTAACACCGCGTTCTATATTTGTATTTGATGTAACAAGAACATGCAATAAACTCCTAGTTTATAACCCTATTTTTTGGGTTTTAATAACAATTGTTTTTTATCAATTTACAAATTATATTAGCATACAAATATTATAATACTATATATAGAGATTTTTTATAACTTTAAATAAATATTATTGAATTTTGTTAAATATCACAAGTTGCTATATTGCAAATTAATATTTAAAAAAATTAAAATTTAGATTAGTTAGAGTTAGAGTTTAAGCTAGTATTAGAATTAGAGTTGGAAAGCATATATATATGCAAAATTAAGAGTTAAAAACTTTTAATTAGAAGTTTAAAACTAGTTTATATAATAAAATTTTAAGATATTTAAAATTTTTAATTTTTTTCTAATTTTTATTTATTTTTGTTATACAATATTCTATGATCTTATTAGTTAGTTATATTAATAATATTACAATTTTTTTTTTTTTTTAAATTTTAACCTTTGCAAGTTGAG